TAGCTGCTTCGCATGCTCGTTCTGTAGGACGGTCACAATTCACAGGCAGTCATAAGACATCAAGGTACACTCACCATGTCAGAGGGACGGCGGATAGTCCGCCATGGCCTGCCGTTCTCCATGTCGCTTGAACCGTCAGTTCTCGCATCCGACGAGGCATAGATCGTCTCCGTATGCTCGCGCACATGGTACTTCTATATATGCACACGAGCGCAGAGCGCGGAGAGGGGGCAAAACATAGCAAACAGCAGTTAGCATCAAACAATGCAACGCACTCCAAGGCAGGGAACAAAGCAAAAGACTCACGCTGCGGGTCCGATTCTCCCGCTTTCGCAGCTCGCGGTTAATCGTGTCCGCGAGGGGCGCGTCCTCGCTCCGGAGCGCCGTCAGGTCCAGGAGGTCGTCGTCGTCTTTAGAGCTTGTCGTGCGACGTTGGGCGGCGGTCGGCCGGGGAGCAGTCGCGTCACCCGTGCTCATGCTCCGCCTGCGCGCGGGGCGTGAGGGGACGGAAAGTGCGGCTGAGCCCATGCCCACGCCGCTGTCAAACAGTCCCTCGTCGCGCTCGCGTGCCTCGCGTTTCTTGGCCTTGATGAGCTCTTCGCGAGCGCGGATCGCGTCCTTGGCTGGGGGCGGGGGCGGGGGCGGGCTCGCAGATGTGGGCCGGGCGGGCTCTATGCCGCGTGTTAGAACCTCGCTAACATCGACAGACGGGTCAAGGTCAAGGTCGATGCCCATTCCTTCGTCGTCCTGGGCGATGTCCGGCAGGGCAAAGGTAGCTGCCTTGACGCCCTCAGTGACGGCCTCGACGCGCAAGCTGCCGTATGACTGGCCCTCGGAGACGAGAGACACGTTGCCGAGGCTGACATTGACGTCGACGCCTGCGCCCTGCGCCATGTCCTCCATGAGCTTGTCGAGTGCACTCACGTCGCCGAGGTGCATACTGCTGTGCTTGGCACGGGCGGTCATGCCGGTACCGAGACCCGCGCTCACGCTCATGCCCTCCTCGCCGAGGGCAAAACCGCGCCCAAAGTCGAGATCGAGGCCCTCAAAAGCGGTCTTTGCATCCATGGCTGGTCGACTGCCGTCGATGCTGTGGGCGCGCTCTTGCAGAGTTGGACGCGGCGGATCGATGGGTTGAGGCTCGGGGTCGATAGACATGACACCGTCATGAGTCGGGTTGTGACGCGTCATGGGAGGAAGGCCGGCACGCTCCTCTTCCGCAGGTTCAGTCATCTGGGAGGTATCCCCACATGGCTGCTCATCCCGCTCATCATGCGTCTTCTCGACAGGCTCGGCTGGCGGAGGGGGTGCAGGGCTACTAGTCGCAGAGCGGCTCGCCTCGAGGGCATCTTCACTCTTCCTGCGGAGCAGCCGCTCCTGTATGGCCTCGCGCGTGATAGGACTACGGCGGCCACCGCTGGTGAGACTCCCTAAGCTCGATGCGCTTGCCTGTTTGAAGATCTGTCTCGGGAATGGTGAACCAGATCCCGAGCGCGGAGTCAGGCGCGAGGGAGTAAGCACCGGAGTGGACCGTGCCTCAAGGGAACGGTCAAAGGAACGGTCGAAGGAACGGTCAAGTGGAGTGCCGGACCTGGAACGCGTGCGAGGCGATGAGTTTGCCACAGGGGCAAAGGAGGCGCCGGTGAGGATGTCGCCGTCGTCGAGCTTGATATCGGCGAGGAGCGAGTGACTGTCCAAGTTGGTGATAGAAACTTCGGAATGACCGATGGAGAGGTTGGACGGGTCGAGGGAGTCGTCGGAGCGGATGGAGCGGAAAGAGTCCTCGAAGGGGGCTTCTTCGTCCTTTAGCTGAGAGTGTGAGTGCTCGGGGTGCGGAACTGAAAGTTGGAAGAGCATTAACGACGGGAGCGAGGAGAAAGAAGAGGGGTAGAAGGGGTAGAAGGGCTTACCTGGAGAACCAATTGACGAACCTTCGTAGACGGGCTCCGGGGAAGAACGGTGCTGGGGTGGGGACTGACCCGGGGGTTTAGCGGGAGAAGGGGACGGGGGGAGTAGGTCTGCATCCTCTTCGTCTTCATGGCGAGGAGGGGTATGCGGAAGGGCTGCTTGGAGCATAGAGTCAACCATACCGGTGAGGCTGTCATTGCCGATTTGGTCGATGCCGTCCTCGAAACTATCCTCCATGGGTGCATCCTCGTCGACCTCGCCTTGGTAGCTGAACCCGTATCCGTATCCGTTCTCGTCGTAGGAGACATCAGCAACGTCGATCTCATCTGCTTCAAACTCGAGGACGTCGCATCGCTCGTCAAAGGTGACGGTCTTGCGGCGCTGGTGCTGGCGTTCGCCAGCGATACGGGGGCCGTGCATTCTGCGTGGATTGGACAGAACGCTGCGGACGGGAGAGGGGACGGGTATGTGGGAGGTCGGGAGAGCGGACTTGGGCCTAATCTTGGGGGGTGGCACGGGAGGCAGAGGGTCGTCGGGAGGTTCGAGGGGACGAAGGAAGGGGCTCTTGGTGACGGGCTCAGTCTGGCAGAGGAACTGGAAAGCCCTGGACTGTCTGCGCTTGAAGCCGAGGGGCTTCTCGTTCTCTGCCTGGGCATGCATGGAATCGGGGCGTGGACGCTTTTCGCCACTTGCACGGCGCGTCGGGGAGGCGGGGACGATCTGGCTCTGGCTCTGGGGGCGCATGAGGCGGAACGGGGACTTGCTCACGAGCTTGTTCTCGCGCACATGTTTGAAGCTGCTTGACGAGCGACGGGCGACGAGCACCTCCGCTTGCGATTCGGACGGCGGCGGCTGCGGCTGTGGTTGGCGGGGGGAGAGGCCTTGACGAGCTTGCGGGGAGGCGTGCTTGTTGATCCTGAGCGGAGTCGTCGGTCTTGCGACGTCGGGGTCGGGGGAGTTGGACTGCAGGCGCTCGCGCAGAGGACGCGCGGAGCTCATCGTGTCGGTCGACGGGCAGCACGGCGGGCACGGCGAGCACAGCGGAGAGCAAGAGCCAGAACAGCGTGGGAACCTCCGTCTGCAGTTCGCGTCCCTTGTTCAACAACGCGCATCACACGTGACCGCGGCGTCTTGGACGCGTCTCAGACTCCTTTGTGCCAGTGCCCTAAGCTTCCTTTCTCCGAGCCCTATGCAGGCCGCACGCGTAAACACGCTTCTAGACCTGATTGCGTCGCACGATGACGATTACCAAGACCCCAACTTCCATCGTGCTGTTTACGGTGCGTACTCTCATCTCAATCGCCCACAAAACGCGGCTTTGACCATGTCAAACCTCCGTGGTAGACCACATCAAGGGACAAGTGAATCCCGTTGTTCCATCCAGCTCATGCCCTCCTTTTCCCGTTTTGGCCTACGCTGTCCGCAACATCCTCGAACCCTCCTTTCTCATCCAAGAAATCCCCAATCTCCTCCGGCTGATCGTCCACCTCGAGCTCCTCCGACAACACATCGTCGGCACAATGCAACGTATCATCCGCCACTCGGATGATCCCCGCATGCCCATTTCTCTCGACTCCGATCACTACCGCGTGCTCACCCAGCTTATCGGCCCGAAGCGCCTCGCCGCCCAACGCACCGTGTACCGCAAGATCGTCAACGGTTGCTGCCTACTCGTACGCCCTGTCTACTACACTCTTCAATTCAATCGTTGACTCCCACGCCCAGCACATCCACCACCTCTGGCGCATCTACAATCCCGAAAAGGACCCTCCCCTCACCACCTCCCTCATCAACTATTTCCCAACCTTTGTCCAGCGCGACCCCGACCTCCGCGACGAGTGCTGCGCCTCCCGTAAGACCCACCCGTGGCACTACGCCATCTCCGAGGACGAGCTCGCTGCCAACTGCGAGACCGGTCAGCGCGCCGCCGGGTTCATGTTCGGCGCGTCCCAGTACCTCGATGATCCCGCCGAGTACTGCAGCAATCACGGGTGCGTGTCTGAGCTGTCAGCTGTGTGTATGAGTACATTCTCATGCGTCGCATCGCAGCTTTGACCCGGATACACCTTTCGACGACATATTTCCCCCTCCAGACTCTCTCCAGATCGTCGAGGCGATCAAACGTTACATCAAGATGGTCAAGAACGCAGTGGACGCACTGGAGCATGTTCTTGAAGGACACAGTGGGTCTACCGGGTAGGGTTACGAGTGGGTAGTCAGGCAAGGGACTGTGACGAAGGTGAACTGCTACTGTACAAGTATAGTTGATATTGGCGGATTCACTCCCGTTTGATCGATCCCATGGGCTCATAGCTTTAGGTCACGTACTCCAACGGGAGCCCCAAGACCGGACGAGCAGCATCGAAACCTCCTGGATCACTACGTTTATCTGCTGTCTACTACTGCTTCTGCGGCTACCCTACCGAGCCTCTCTCGCACTTCTCGCTGTCGGCCCAGGCGTTCTGTGTTGCGCTCCAGGATGATCTTGTTTCTGCTGGAATCCACGTATACTTGAGTACTCTGCGCGCTCGTTTAAGTCCGTACTATTACGAACTAGAGAGTGCGGATAACTGAGAGGTACGTCAATTCGATCCCGCCCAGGACCAACTCGGGGCACAAATTGCCCGGATGGGCGGCACGGTGCCAGAACAGTGCACCAGGCTCGCAGCACTAGTGCCAGCCTTTAGTTCCTCGTACCTTTGAATCGAGGCTGCAAGCATCGACCATCACCATAGGACCCCGCGCGACGGGTCGCTTCTGGCATGAGAGAACACCTTCGTTGGTTTACCGATGGCCTCTATCCCTGTGACATATTTTGCTTGACGGATAGCTAGTAGCACACATGGTTGTTTCGACTCATCGAAGTTGGAAAGTCATCATGTGGTTAACCTAGAAGACGGTCTGCATGCGCGTGTTTTCGCCTTGATACACGTTGCAATGGGTACATAAATTTTGAGTACTACCTTACCTCATAGGTCTAGCCGTAGGAAGTGAGCGAGTGCGGTCACTGCGGTGGGACGGTAGAAGGGAGACTGTTTGTTCGCATTGAACAAGGCAAAAGGAGATCACTAATAACTTATCGCATCGCGCAAGGCACTATAGTGTAGTGGTTTATCACTTGGGATTTTGATACGTATTGCGGACCGGCCCCTAACCGTGCCGGTCCGCGATCCGTGGATCTTCCCATAACCCAGGTTCGAACCCTGGTAGTGCCTTTTGTGTAACTCTTGAGTGATTGCCCGGCTGATGTTTTTTTGTCTAGTTGCTCCCAACAAGATGGCGTAGTATAGAATACTCTTCTGATTGGGGCCGACCATACATTCGGAGTCAAGTAGCTATGATGCCTCCCTTCACCATGTTCCACCCAACTTGTTCGTACGTCCAGCCGAACACCTTGCCATCATCCGAGTATGAATGATAACGCAACAACGAACGGTGCATCCCTGGCTTCTTGTGTAGCTCATCCAAAGTTGACATGTCCTCGTCGGTTAATTTCAGCAGCTGCAGATCTCTCAGCATCGCGCTCTCCTGAGCTGTTAGCGAGCGACGTACCGTAATGTTTTGCTTGATCCTCTCCGGGTTCTCGCTCTTCGGTATGACGACCGTTCCGCGCTGTACGCCCCAGCTGAGAGCAACTTGCCCTGGAGTCGCGTTGTGTGCCTTCGCAATCCTGACTACATCCTCGTCGGTGAGGAAGACTGGTTTGCCATCATACTCCTTCGGACGACCTAATGAAGATACAATGCCTGAGCCTTCAATCGGGACAAATCAGACACACGAACGCACCGAGAGGCGAGTATGCAGTTAGAATGATGCCCTTCTCTTCGCAGTACTTCTTCAGCTCGAAGGACGGTAGACAGGGATGAAGCTCGACCTGGTTCGTGGCGGGCACGACGGACGCTTCCTTCAAGAGCACCTCCAGGAGCTTGACGGAGAAGTTTGACACGCCGATGGCGCGCACCTTGCCGGTCTCGAGAAGGCTCTCCATGTCTTTCCAGGTCTCGACGAACGTCGGGCTCTGGCCGTACGGGATCGGCTTGTTGTCTGCCGTGTACGCCATCGGCCAGTGCATAAGATAGAGGTCGACGTAGTCCACGCCGAGCTTGTCTAGAGACTCTTGCAGCGACTCGGCGACGCGATCATGGTGATGGTTCGGGAGCTTCGTGGTGAGGAAGATCTCGCAACGCGGGACACCGGACTCGCGGATCGCCTTGCCGACCTTCTCTTCGTTAAAATATCCATATGCCTTTGCGGTTGAGCTTGATAAGTAGTCCATATCAAGCACTAGTAGAGCAGCTCACGGTATCGATGTGTCTGTAACCGAGCTGTAGAAGATCTTGTCAGATCATCGAATGAGTATGAATGCTGCAGGATACTATCTTACCTCCAACGCTGTCTTGCACATCTGCTCGACGACGTCGCCGCCACCACTCGGGCCCAGCCAGCACCTGCGAAGAAAATCGATCAGTTTACCCCGGACGGTGAGAACTCCAGTCCGAAGGCGTGTTGCCTCGGTCACTTGTGGACCACCGACCCTGTCCAGAGCAAAGCAAGCGCGATTCACAGATAAATAGATGCTCACCCCATGCCAACGGAAGGCATCTTGTTTCCGGTGTTCAAGGTGAAGCTTGGGATGTCTGCGGCCATGATACTGAACGAGTCGAGTGTGTTTTGAGGCAAGGTACACCGGGCAAGGTCCTCCTTCAGTGGGTGCCGTGGTCCGACTATTTATACCTATCTGCAAGGTACTCCTAAGTCTCGGGTCCATGGAAGCAATACTAGCGAATCATAACGGACGTCCGCAAGGAGCGTCGTTGAATCCCTTGATCATCCCAGGGCCGTTTCGTACCACCTGACATCCCCAGCGGCCCGAGTTCTGGTATCTTCCGCAATCGATACGGCGATTGCGCATGGCGGACTCCGGAGTGTGCTGTATAACTCGAAGAACGAGCGCGGAGACAAGACTGTCCTTTACGCAATCATCGTGACCACGTTGCTACTCACCACCAAGTATGCCGAGTGATGGTTGCGGTTCAAGTTGTTTACGCCGGCGCCTGTGACCTGGGCGGTGGTGAGATTGTGCCAATAGGCATAGATGATGTACTCTATAATTCGATATTACAGTATGTAGCTACTGCTATTGCGCTTCAGTATGTATGGGTATGATTCCTGGGTGCAACAGTGACAATCCCTGAGTCCGAGTAAACACTACAGTAAGGTATCTGCCTAGCCGGCACTGCTAACTGTCGTTGCAGTCCCGGCCGTTTGCCACATCCCGACGCCGCTAGGATGCTGACTATAGTAGCCTTCATATCGTATATCCAGCTCGTACACCTCCGCCATCGAATGCTCCGCGACACACGACCACGGATAGCTGAACGTCAGTCGGACCTGCTTCCCTCTGCTTCCAAACGTCTCACACGCATTTTTCCACGTCTGGACCAGCATGGACTCGTCCGGGTTGACATCCCTAGTCGGAGCCGTCCGTCTCGAAGCATAGGAGTTTTCCTTGCTCCCTGAGCGTCGTAACGTCCCCGTGCCGGAGGATCCAGTCCATAACAGGTCATCCACCTCAGAATCGAACCGCACCGACGCCCACAGCTGGGACGTCTGCGTTGGGGTGCTCGATAGATCGAGCGGACATACCCCGAGGTGTACCGTGAACGAAACGGGTCCGAGGAAGGAGATGCTGCGATAGTCGCCGGGAGTCTGCAGTCGGAAGCCGCCGTCCGGAATCTTGGGCTCGACATAGCCCATCTTCCGAAGCCGCTTGATGGACCGCTGAGATAGAACGATCGTGCAGGGCGGCTCGAAGAAGATTATAGAGGATACCGCAGACGAATCCGAGTCACGAGCTCCGGGTAATCGGAGTCGCGAGCTGCTGTCGGGATGGGAGTGGATGTGGACCTCGCGCAAGCTCGGCTGGATGGGGAGACTGCCATTCTTGGAGGTTTGGTGGTAGGGAGACAGGAGCTCGTTCAGCGCTGGCAGGCGGAGCCGCGTGGCGCGGTAGTAGTGGTTCCGCCGCCCACCACAGGCAATGTACCCTCCGACGAAGTACTTGTTGCTTGCGCTCGTCCGGGAATGTGACCTTAGGTATAGCGCGACAAGTCTGCCTTTACCGTCCTCGCATGCCAGGAACGCGAGCGCGGCATCGACGGAGGAGGTGTGCGCGATGCTGACCATTGGCAAGGTCGTCCTGATCCCGGAGCTCGTGTTCGTATACTCGGGCACGGTTTCAGGAGTCCGCAACCTCTCAGCCAACTCCCAGTGTGAGATGGGACTGATATTCGCACACGCTGCAAACTCGGCTGGGGATGGAGCGAGGAGTGTCTCGAGGTGAGCGGAAGGCGCGTAGTCGTGCTCCCGCGCGGTCGACACGAAAGTGCCCATAGCGTGGTCGTCGAGTGTGCGACCCCAGGCAAAGATGCTCTGGTCGGGCGACTTCTTGATGATTTCCTCCTGAAGGCGGACGAAGGCGTGCTTGCCTTCGCCATAGATTGTCGGCATGTACACCCCAAAGAGGCCCATGAGCGAGTACGCCTCGTCCTCTATGCGCCTCGTCTTGCGCCCTGCAGCCCATGACATGCGGCAGGCGATGCTCACGTCGTCGAGGGGCCGCTTGTGCGTGAGGACGCGGCGGTCGATCCCGGTGACCTTCTCGAGGAGGGGCGCCAGCCGCCATTTGGGACCGATGATGGTCCAGTCATCCGCGAGGAAGATGACGGAGGCGGGCGCGATGAGCTCCTGCAATGTCCAGCCGCGCGTGAACCACCGGCTGCGCCGAAAGGCAGAGTTGGGGGCGTGCGGGTCTTCGCCGGAAGGGACGTCGTCGAGGAGCGCATAGCACATGGCTGCGGTGCGGTACCAGACGTACATGGAGTTGATTGCCTCGGATAGCTCGGTGCTGTTCGTCTTGTCGATGCAGCAGGTGTCGACCCAGAGCCAACGAAAGCCGTCATTCCGTGCGCGGACGCAGGCGTTGCGGATTTTGAGCGAAGGTCGGCGGAAGACACGATCCCGGGCATTACGGAAGGCGCCACGGGCAAGGGAGCCGTGAGCGGGTGCGAAGTGCGGGGTATCTTGGAACGTTTGTTCGTCTTCATTCCAGACGTGCGAGAGGGCAGCGTAGGAAACTTCATTGGGATTAGGAAACCAGCGTAGCTGGAGCTTCTCTGTGTGCAAGAGCCACATGTGCGATTCTACATGGCGCAGATCAGTGAGTATACGTGCATGCACAAGGCTACCCGCACCTAGAGCAGAATGTACCTCACCAGAGATAAGGCTAGAAGGAAAAAGAATGTGAGGGAAAAGGCGGGCTTATCCTGACCTCACACTCTTTAACACATCGACGTCTTCTCACCCTCTGTCGAGGCAGTGTAATAGCACAGCGTTGCGCCCAGTTATCCCAGAAGGTTCAATGGAAGTATCTCTTTGAGACGCTGCTTCTAGAAGCACTCATGAGGGACAGATGGAAGTCGGACCGGTGCTGGTCAGGTCAGAGGATCACAGATATCGGGATTGTACTAATACTTATCACCGCCCTGAGCGTCCTTGAGGGTGATATCTTACCTAGAAGAGAACAAGGATGACGCATCCAAGTGTTCTTCGGATCTATCAGACCAGACGGCGCTCAGTTATTGCGTTGAGGCGATATCCATGGGACCCAGACGTTCACGATGCCGCCGGGAACCTGAACCGCCTCCCAAGCCAATTGTGTGACCGTCCTTGGCTTCCTACTAGCTCTGCTGCCACGCTGCCAGTTGTGGCATAACCGGCTCCTTCTTAGTCACAATGGCTGGGTATCGTGCGAGCCCAAGATTGTGTGACAAGAACGGATGTAGGGCTTCTGAGGCTTCGACTCGTGGATGTGGCAGACAAGGCACATCAAGACTCGGCAGGGCGCCTGGGCCGGGAGTACAGCTCATTGGCGCTTGCGAGGTTGAACTTGGAACCGCATTCATATTCCATAGTCCCATTTCGCTGCCTCGACCGATACCTAGGTCCCACCTTTCCTGGCTGGCTACGTTGGTTCCGCCTCGGGGATCGCGGGTTATTTCGATATGCAGTCTCGACGCAGTGCTGGGAGAGGCGAAGCACCGGGTGACGTTCGTCTGTCCTATGACAGTATGATGGCACGCACCGTTCGTACGACTCACCAACAAATGCGTATTCGTCGATGGCCGGGCCCTACAGTGGAATGGGTCCTGGGAAG